GTATACAGCCAAAGATGTTAGAATTGTGTCGATGTCCCAATATTTCTGGACCTGACTGTAAATTGGGACACAAGAAGTCTGTGCAGTTCCTGGATCTTTTATTGTCAATTCCCTCCATTCATTAGAGGAAGTAAAAATGATTCTGTGGCTGAACTTGGTGTCCCTACTAACAGTCCTCAGAGTTACGTGTTTCCTCCCTATTCAGGTTCTCTCCATTTCAATTCTTGTACACAGGAGAGCTGATTGACACAGCTTTCTTTTTCGGTGTGCAGTCCAAGGTCCAGTTGGTGCAGTCTGGAGGGGATGGGAGAAGACCTGGAGATTCCCTCTATCTTTTCTACCTGTTGCTCCATTTTCATTCCTTCCACATCAATGATGGAAAATGGACAAAAAATTATAAGAATTATTATCCTATCAAAAGAATGCAATACTATTACAGAGCAGATTTTGACAAATGAGCAACCCTGCTTAGCTGGTCTGCCTAGAGAAAAAAGAGAATGAGGGAAGAACAGGCAGCCCCACTTTGAGATGTCCAGAAGAGCCTCTTTTGTTTGGAGATATGCAGACAGGTCATCTGTTAGGGATGGTGTCCATTAGAGGACCTAGGGGTCTTTTTCCAACTCATTTCTTCCATGATTTCATGAGATACTTGGGGGGGGGGGAAAGAATCCCCCACCCACAGAAAAAACACCCTGTCATTACTAACCCTTGAAAAGGAATTTCCCCTCAGGTAGCAGAGGATCAACTTTTGATTGCTCCTTAGACCTGCTTAGATCCCTTGGAGAACTTTAATTTCTTCTCAGCCCCACTTACCATTCTTGAACACAAGAGTCTCCTGGGAAAGTGAAGTAGATGCCTCCCCTCCTCTCTTTTTGCACCAGGGGGCAGTGTTGTCACAATGAATGGCTTTGAATATATAAATGTGGGGTGAGGGTGGGTTAGGGAAATAAAGCGAGTGTCTATAGGCATTGTCTCACTTTGGAGGGAACATTATCTTTTTGTTATTTCTGTAATCATTCACTGAAAAGGTCTCAAGAGAATTTAACATCTCAGGAGGTTACATTCCTCATCATGAAGCCATTTCTGACTTGACAACAGATGTGCTTTGCTAAATATAGAACAAACTGAATTCTTTGGAAAATACAAAATGATTTATCAGTATTTCTCTGTCCATATAGTGAGTGCATTGGGGGTATTTTTATTAGGATCAGCATTAGTATTATTATTGTCAGTATTATTACTTCATTGTTTATGGTTGTCCATCTTGCTCAATCAATTCTGTGTTGCTAGCAACAGATAAGAAGAATATACAAAATCACACCTCAAAAACAACCAATCTATCAAATCTATTCAGTTGCAGAGTTAGAAAGAAAACTAATAAGGAACACCCCACAGTCTTCCAATATGATTTTTTTTATTCCAACTTTGAGACTTGGATGTCTATGTGTAATTCAACAGCACCTTCCAAATTGTGTCTTATGGCTT